TTTGTCATTTTCCAAATAACAAAAAATCTCACTCTGGGGATCCCAGCAGAATTAACCTTTGAAGGTGATTATTTTTGTGAAAAAAAAGAAATTGCCCTAATATTTGCAGCATACTTTAAATCAGTTTACCAAAACAGCACTATAACTTATGATGGGTGAATACCAAGAATGGGAAATTTTTAAGTTTTCACTGGTCACTGAGAGTGATGTTCTTGCTAGTATTAAATAGTTAAAATCAAACAAATCAACTGGTGTTGATGGCATACTCTCATATACTATATTAAAGGGCTGTGCTGAAGGTTTATCTGAGTAATTGGCACACATTTTTATTTCGAGCCTTGTGACTAATTAATTTTCGGATAAACTGAAGATAGCCACTATCACATCTGTCCATAAAAAAGGGAAACTAATTGAAATTGTCAATTATAGGCCTAAGTAGTGATGTGAGTCGAGAATATTCCCATGCGAATATTCGCGGAAACTTTCAATCAAAAACTCTCAAAACAATATTTCCGAGAACTTTCGAGAATATTTACAAAAACTTTCCGGAAGAATTTTATAAAAATGCGAGATTATTGCGAAAACAAGGTCTCAGTGACGTCATTTCAATTTATGAAGATGACGTAGCCCAGTCCAACTGTCTTCACGGAAACACTGATCCGATTTACCCGATCACCAGCTGATGTACCTACAGTTTGTCTTCATTTAAAATAATCTTCATTGAAGAAAGATACAAAATAAAGAGCTGAGGGATTGGGTTAATCGGATCAGCTTTTCCTTTTAAGCCTTATTCAACCGTCCATAAAAGTCTTTTTACTACATAGTTTAATTTTTAGCTGATCTTACAGAAAAAAATAGGTGTTTTTCTTGGTTTATAGTCTATCGTCAGTACACTACAATAATAGGTAAATAAAGCTTACTACGATTTGTCTGATTTAGCTACAAATTAAAAAAAAAAAAAAAACAATATTTCCATAAGTTCCCGAAAATTTCCAATATTCCCAGAAAGTTTCCTAGAATATTCGCGGCTTTTGAATGTTTCGTGAATTTTACATCACTAGGCCTACTCTATGTTGATTTATACATGGATAGAGCGTAGCATGGTTTTATGCCAGGCAGATCTGAGATGAGTAACCTTTGTGTATTTACAGAGTCCGCTGCAAATGCAATTGAACATGGTGAACAGCTGGAGACTGTGTACACCTACCTCAATAGTGTACACTGACCTGTCTAAGACATTTGATAAGGTAGACCATGCATGGATTATTATTAAACAAATTATTATTTCATGGGATTTCTAAAGAAACATATGTATTTCTAAAATCGTACCTGCTTGAACCAATTTATAACCACATCTGGAGCACCCCACGGAGGTAACCTGGGGCCTCTCTTCTCATAATACTTATCAACTCGCTCAATAAGTTAAATACTCTTCGGCTTTGTTGTATGCGGATGATCTCAAGATTTTCAAGTCAGTCCCAGATCAGATCGCAACGACACCGATTTGTTACAGACTGGATATGCCAAAAGCATTGGGTTTTGTTATGTGTAAAGGAGAACTTTTTGAAATCGTCACAATCGTGGAGTTATATAATTGTCTTGTACGCCCACACTCCACACTGGGAATATGCTTCCAACGTGTGGGCACCTGTGACGTTAGTAGGCAGCGACCTAATTCCAGAAAAGGTTCTTAAGATTCTTGTAGGTAAAACAAAATAATGTTTATCCTTTCTTGGTATCATATAGGTCAATGCTTGCAGCCTATAGATTCCAAACATTGGAGAGTAGAAGAAAAGCACAGGCTGTTCTATTTATATATTCTGTTCTAAATAATTTATAGTACCTACAGGGAGTTCAATCTCAAAGGGTTTATTAAATTTAAAGTACGAAAAGTGAATCGGCTAATTCTAAATAAGGATGTCTTTACACATCAGAGAAGAAGTTTATCTCCTATAAATAACGTGCTACAAATTTGTAATGAATTTCTATTGAAGAGTGACATTGACATGTTCAATAGTCCACTAAAACTACATATAAATTGGCTCAAGACAGGTAATCATTAACCATTATAGTTTAGTTATTTCGCTTATGTCTTCTGATGTTGTCTGTTTGGAACAGAAGGCCTAGTACCTGAAGACTATTTTTTACTGGAATGTGTTTTTCGCTAGTTTTAAGTACCTAGTTTGTAAGTGTACTTTATGTGTAATAACCAACCTGATTTTTGAAAAGTTAATGAAATTTAGATAAAAATTAAACTCATGATGCGTCTTTCAAAATTTTTTTTTTGTCCTGTAAATCATGAAGTAAAAATTTTGGAGAATTTCTTTAATAAAAATGAATAACCAACGTCCAACACAAAACTAGATTTTCTGTCTTTTTTAATAAGAATGTGAACCTCAGTGACGTCATGACGTAATTACCCTATAATTTCTTTCAAATTCATCACAAATTTCCCATAAATTCCTCCAAATTCCCTCAAATTCCTCCAATTTCCGATAAGTTCCTTCAAATTCCTCTAAATTCCCCACATTTTGGCAAAGAATTCCTAGGTGGTTTGTCTCTTGGTAGCAGTGCCTCCTCCAGATCCAATATACAATCTACACGGTATACAAACATCATAAAAATAGGAAGCAAGTCACAGAAATCTCCCAAGGATGGCTTGCATGATACCCAATGCCCAATATTGCAATGACGCCTGGGCACGTATTCTCCTAACAGGAGAGCTGCGCTCACATGAGAAAGAAGATTCTGTCTCAGTCGCCCATATTGTTATTTCCATAATACTGACAAAGACAGAGCAATCATTCTCTTGTGAACCCCGGTTACGACAATACGAGCCTTGATAGGACGTTTTTGAAAAATGAAGATGGATTCAGATTGGAAGACTGGGTCTATTTAATGAAATTGTGCATGTAGAAAAGACACAGAACATTTGCGTTTTGTTCTCAATCCTAGAAACATTTTTTTTCCCCAGGGCTTAGTGAAATCAGGTAACGAATTCTTCAAACTTTTCAAATATGAAAATTATAAGTACTGCTCTACGCAGGTGGAAAGTTACTTCTGATATGGGAAAGTTTAAAAATCTAAGCAATATCCTGTTTGGGTTAATAAGTAGTTAATTACAAGATATATTAAAACTAGAGATGAATTAGGATCTATGTATTGTTACAATACGAAATTATATTGTGCAAAAAATCTGGCGCCACTGAGGACGACCGGTGCGGGAGTATTCACGAATTTGTTCCCATCGCGTGCATAAAATAAACAAGAATTTCGTATAGGTATAAAGCGCGTAGTTTGTGAGTTGATGTCAGTTTAAATTTTCTTGTACAAAAAATGGGTCGAATAATGCGATGAGGTACCTATTAAACCAGCCACACAATCACTTTTTGGGTTAGAAAGGATACTGTTTTTGGACATCCATCAATCATTTGTGGATTAACCAACAATTATGCCTCTGATTGAGAAATTGTACGGTTAACGGTACGATTTTTTCACGCCACAACCAAACGCCATTTTTATATGAACAGGAATTTATTTTTGAGTCGGAGATTTGCTTTCTGTGCCCTTTTGACTGAATTAAATTATTTTTAGCATCATCCCACACTCTTTGTAATTTGTATTTTAATTTTAAGGTTTTAAGTCAGGCCTATAGTTTATTACAGCAACGAGAGATGTCAGGACTGTCGCCCCTATAGTGTACCCTAACTTGATAGTAAAAAAAAATAGAAATCTGCATTTGATTAAATTGTCTGATGGAAAGTTTTTTCTTTTTTTTTTCGGAAATTCGAAGTATTGTTTTACATAAACAGGGTTGTAGTTTGGACCAACACAAATAATTTTGAATGTTCATCCGTCGGATTTTTTTTTAAACAGTGTAGCTACAGGCGTATTTCCAACTATTCTTGCAGTAGCGAGAAAACTACAAGTTCAAAAAATTTAACTCAAAAATGGCGAGTCAAATTTGCTTAAAAAAATTATGGATTAAAGTATATCAATAACCATAGAACATATATTTTTTTTGGAATTTTTGAACACAAGGTTCAGAAAATGGGGGTTGACTTTAAACCTTAAGGGATAGCTATCAAAATTGTACAGAGGTTCAAGTTTTTTAATTATATTTGAAGGTGAAGTGCATTGTTTTCCAAATACTAACTTATAAGGTGTATACGTTGTGCTGTTGTGAACTGTATTATTATAAGAAAAGCATCAAAAATGTAACCATGAACTCCATGTGTGTGGGTGTTCAGTACATTGTGTTCTGAGATAAGCACCTAGACTTTTATTTGAGTTTTCTAGAGAGCCTAAAGTCTGATGGTGATAAGAAGTTAATGAAATATGATTTATTTTTAAAATTTGACAAGTTTCTTTTCGATGACAGGATAGTTTACTTCTGCCTTGTTTAGATCTCTTGAAATATAGGCGACTGGATTACCGTTGCCGTTTGAGAGAGTGGCACCTAGAGCCTTATTGGATGCATCGGAAGTGACGATGAAGGTATTTAATGGTGAAAAATCTGGATATTGTAAGATGGGGTGGACTAACGAGTAATTGTTTAAGAATTTCAAATCTGTCTTAACACTGTGGAGTCCAATAGAAAGGAACGCCTTTTCTTGTGAGATGATTTAAAGGGGAGGCTATAAGTAAAGTTTTTTATGCTTTTCCTGAAAAAATTTGCAGATGCTACAATCGTTTTACTTCTATATCGGATTTTGTTGGGGGTATTTTAAAATAGCTTCTACTTCCTTAGGGGCTGGAGAAATGCCTTCAGCAGATATGACGTAGCCCAAATAAAGAATTTCGCGCTTAAAGAAGTCACATTTTTTTTAGGATTGAGCTTCAGATTTAATTCTCTGAGTCTTTGAAGAACTTTAACCAGATTTTGATTATGACTTTCCAAGCTTTGCTCTTCTTCCAGTGCCTCTTTTAAAGTTGTCATTTCGGCATTGAGCTTATTGGTAATTCTTTGATTCTGCGATTGTCGGTCCTCCTTATTGTACAGTTCATTTTTAAGGGTGTCTTTATCCTTCTGGCAGAGGTCTCGGATTTGCTTCATCTCAGTGTTGCACTGTTCTTGTTCTCTGGTAGTTTGTTTCAGTTGTTCTTGTCTGGCAACTTGAGCTGACAAATCAGCAATCTGTTTTTCGTAACTTCGTATCGTATTTTCTTGATGTTTCACTCTTCTTTCCATTTCAGTCAAATGGTCAAAAGCTACCAACAGAGAACTTTACACTGGTTAGCTTCACTCTCCAAAGGTTGGTTGTTGCTCTCTAAAACATTGGTTTCCTAAGGAAGAGACTTGAATTGGTCAATTGGTCAAGCAATTCATTACTTTCTAGTTCCTTATTGGTTATCAAGTCCTCTTTTTTTTTTCGGACACATAATGTTGCAGCTGCCTTTTAGGATTTTCCACTTGTCGTTTGCAAATTGGTAATTCGTACGTAATTCGTTTCTGGCATCCCTCGAATCATATGACAGGGAACCCAGGGAACTATGTCATTTTGAAGGCGCTTATTCTCTGCCAAAGCAGCTTCTTTGAGCCGTTTCTCCTTTTCTAATTCACTCTCCAAATTAGACAATTCCATCTCCTGCAATCGAACTGTTTGATCTTGTCTGGATCATTCAGAGGCATTTTTCATTAAGATCTTTTACCAGGCTTTCTAACTTGGACACCATCTTGATCTTTTTATCCAGTACGTCTTCTAGACTAGATATTTTATCCATTTTTGTATCTAAATCATGTGCCAAAGCATCCTTCTGCCTGTCCATTGTTGTCAATTGGTTTTTCATTAACTAAATGTCGGATTTAAGTCATCACTCTGTTGAACTGCATAAAAACGCAGATGTCTTATCCAGCCGAACACGCCAAGATCAAAGCAAGAACTGTCTCAATATTGATCCGCGTTAAAGCGTTCCTGTTAGAAATCTCCTATTTGAAGTGGATCAAGAACGGAGTCGCTAACAATTGGAAGACAGTGACATTGGACCATTTTTGATCATTCGGGAAAGCGGCAATAGATCAATAACAAAATGGAGAATTTGATTCCGGCTAGTGAAGAAAGAAAAACAGGGAACAAGTATATTGGTGCAATATGGCTGCTGTTCGAAAGGTCCTTCAAACAGCCGCTCTACAGACTCCCACGAAACGAAAGAGAAATCGCTTTACGACCATCCACGAAGCCGCAGACAAGGCGGCTGGCACATTGGCAGTCAATAGGAAACAGGTTTCTAGTCTTCTAGTTTCCGTCAGTCCACGGAAAGAAGAGCCATGCAGGTCTGACGTTAGAGTTGGAAAGTCATGATAGCCAAGAGGTCTAAGGCGCTGCGTTCAGGTCAAAGTCCACTTGGGCAGGCATAAGTATGGATCTGAGTGGAGGTATAGACATAAAAGGTGTTGCACCTTAATAGATTCAGAACGAGTCGGGGCAATCTAGTTTGAAAGAGAACACGGAGGCAAAACAAAACTACATCGAGAAGCCGCCCCTGGTTTTAAGAATACAGTTGTTTAGGCTTTGCCTTAGCGCGAATATTCAGGGGATTCAATTGTATGCCTAAGCAAACTTAGTTTACATTCGACGGGTTTCTAGGAATTCTATTATATTCGAGTGAACAAGTTCTTCTAGCGAAATCCTGGATGCAATATCGAGTATAAATTTATTTTTTTATTTATTTATTTAAGGTACACCTTACAAACACCCTAAAGGTAATCACAAGTAAGGGTGGTTACTAAAACTAAAAACAGAAAGAGTAAATAGTCCGTAGTCAGTCATTCTGAAGTGTTAGTTCAAATAAGAGATTTATTGTATACGGTTTGATTAAAGCAATAAGTGATAAGTACATTTTTATAGAGTGCGTCTTCATCAGCTTGGGAGACGACCTGTGTTTTACTTTCTAAGTGGAAGATTTCTATTTCTATTTTCCATACTATCAAAATAAGCATCATACATATAGCTTCACATCCGCTATGAGTTTTTTTTGTGAATTTTTTCTCGCCAAAGACGTAGTTTGTAGTGGAATTGCGATGGGAGAATAAATTTTTTCAACTTTACCACTTGAGGCGCAATAATAAAAAAGCATATTTCCTAACATGTATACGTATTTCCAAGCGATTAAAAGACCCCTGGTTTTTACGATATTTTTTGTAGGTAACTTCCGAAATAATATTGCCAAATTATAATAAGTAATTCAATTTTTTAATAACTGAGATTTGTTCACAGATTATTCGTTGATTTGACAAGTTTACCATTGAAAGTTTAGGTACGTACTCAACAACGGAAATGCCAAACCCTTGACAATGAGATCAAATCATGTATTTTGCTCCCTAGGGAATGAAAAGTCGGTATTTTTGGAGATATTGTGATGGGAATTAACAAATTGTTCCCATGTTATGTCATGTTTTGATAATTGCACCCAACCTGTATTGATATTTAGTATATTGATTCGGAATACCCGATACCTATGTCAAATTAAGTTCATTTCTAGACGCCTTTCTCTGCTGCTCATTGAGGTTTAACTGATATATCTGTTTTTATAATAATCATGCGATTCATATAGATGCCACAATAGAAAAAATATCATATCATAGTGCCAATTCTCTAGAGTGAACAATGAAAGTTTGATTGTATAGTGTCGCGTGGAAGCTCTTTGTCTGAGTCCTGCCCGGTTGCAGAAATTCAGTCGAGCAAAAACTGGATTTACATTTTTATGTATTTTCACTAATGGATTTTTAAAACGAATCTCTTGGAAAAAAAATCTCCCGGATTTTAGTTTGAGTATCAATATCCCCATATTTCCTATAAAAAGCGATTGTCTGTTCTATTCACAGTGTAGCCGTATCGATTTAAAATTTAACGGTAGAGAGGCATGTTGCAGGCTTAGTATATGAACCTACTTGGGATGCGATGCACTCAAAGCCATAAACGAATATATATAGACTATTATATAGACAGATAAATAGACTTTGATTTTGTATGGAATAATCAGAATGCATCAACAATTCAAGAGTTGTAACACCTTACCTGCTGGATCCAATGAAGTAATACTTTGGCGATATCAGGATCTGGAGGTGGAGGTGAATTACTATTTTGTAGGGCAGTTGCTAAATTATTGGCAGCTTCACGAATGCTAGGACACGTGGCAAAACCGTAATCAGGAGATTGAGCTGTTAACGATCCAGATCCTGAAAACAAAAAGTAAATCAAAACATTTAGTTGATCCTAACGCCGGTTAACTAGAAAACTGCATTTTTCCAGCCAAAACTGGGGCAATAAATCACATCGACTGGCTGTCATGTGTACTTCGAAGTTAAATGTTACATGAAACAAGTATATGAAATTACCAGACCGTTTCTGGATAAAGCCATTCGGCCAGATTGAATTCAGGATTGGCTTGTTAATCTTTTAATCCTATAGCGCCCGTAAAGTTTGAAAAATGTTCCAGCTTTCATGAGCGATCCAATCGATGGGAAAAAGTAAACTTTGGACAGAAATAAATAGATGTTTTTTGTTTTTCAATTTCAAAAATGTTCTAGTAGTATGGAACAATTCTCTATCGATTTCATTCACTCACCATTCACATTAACAACAACACTCTCTTCCCCAGTTGGTTGATGTGGGGTACCGCCCGAATGGCACATGTTGAGCCACCACCAGCGCGTCATGTAGTCCCTTAAATCATCCCTCAGAGGCCCACTGATCCAGGGCCCCTATAAGGGGATTACTACACACACTACACACAACATTTTTGGGAGTTGTGACTAAAACTATGCACCGATTTGAATCTATTTGGTAATATAATTTTTATAACTTATCTGAATATTAAATTTTTAATGCTAAATTACCCTTGAGTAAACAATTTTCTGTTGGATGAAGGTTTATTTATCTTTATAGGTAGCTATATGTCTAGATTATGAAATAGTTATTATTTTATAAATTTCTCGATAGAAAAAAAAAACACTGTTTTTTTTTATAAAAATTAAGTTTCGCACTAAATACAAGAATATGGCATCGAAAGTAATCTCAGTACACAATAAAAATAAATCTCTTTTCATTCATATAAACCAATATAAACTCTCGAAGCGGTCGTTATCCTGCACTCTACGGAAACATTAGGATTTCCACACACCCGAAGTCCACGACGGCTTTACAACTCCCCAGAAAACTGTTAAACGACGGGAAACTCCCGGCGAGATCATAGGAAAATCGCGACTGAAAAGCCAGTTGGGAGAGCCAACTTGTTGCGGCGAGACACGAGGATATTTTCCATGGCGTGTGGAACTTCCGAAATTCGTAGAGAGAGCTGGACGGAGTTGCGCGCAACTTCCGCTATCATAGTTGGGTATTTAGAGTTCATTTAACTTTGGGGCTATGGAAAAAATAGTAGGTTGAAGGACAGTGTTTGTTCCAAAAGGGACAGTGGGTCTTGGGGTCATAATTTTTTTGTCAGTGAACCTGAACAATCTAATCCGAGATGCAAATGATGCAAAACGATTTCAGGCGATAATTTTTTATTTTATTTTTTCACTACTAACCTGAGATATAGTCATTATTCAATCTATTTTTCTAGGAAAAAATTTAATTTCTCTCCCTAGGTGAATAATAATGATTAAAAAAAACCTAGGTGGATAATGAAAATGACATCATGACAACCAGGTTTCTAGTCAAGTGGTTCAATTACAAATTCAACCTGTAAATGCGGTTTTCGCAAACGTTGGCTACTATTTTGTCAAACGAAAGATGGCACCGAGAGAAATGTCATCGCCCTTTTTGTTTTTCAGATAAAAGGTGTTTTTGAAAAAGTTGATAGAGAGCATTGGATGTTAGCGAATACAATTTTAATACAAAAACAGATCTGTGAAAAAGTCGTCTGATCCAAATCCATTCAAACATTCAAAATGCGGGAGGATGTTTTTCAGCAGGTCTTTTTTCCTATTCCAACAAAAATCCCAAGCAGCAAATGTTAGTCGTTATGACTTCGATTTTAAATAGATTCACGTCGATTAACCAAAATTCGACGTCGGAAAGAGGTTGCAAAATATGACTTGTTTGGGACGTCACATAGTGGACGTTTATTTAACTATGACATGAACCAACAGGTTCAAAAGTTACTGTGTAAAACCTAATATGACCCATTCAGAAAAAATGCGCTATATTAAGACATCTATGATGCGTCCATTTGACGTCGTTGAATTGGACGTATATTTGGTCAGTGTGAATCGATTGAAAAGTTATATATCTACATAGTAATACCAGTACATGATGAATAATAATTATACAGTGGGTACCTTCATAAAAAAATGATAATTGTTTTGCAATAAGTAGTTTCGAAACAATCTGAAATTGGTGTTTTCTGCATTTCATCAAGTGAAGGTGGAAGAATTTGTTTATCTCAATATTATTATACCTAATTGATGAATTATCAGTGAAGTAAGAAAAAAAAGGGACCAGGGTAATGTAAACAAGCTATTGTACCTTTCTTTTCTTATCTATTTTATATTGGTCATTCGGCAGTAGTCTATTGTGGAGGAATAAGCTATTAAAGCAATAATAATTTCAATACCTAAGCTATGGTCCTAACTGCCCTTCAAATCAGAATTTTGGTAAGCTACTTCTAGTTGAACATGTTTGGTATTAGACTTCAAGCATTTGGCTGTAGATGTTTTCAATATCTTCCACTTAACAATTGAAGCTGCGTTTCACTGATATCCAGGGCAACAAATCATGGTTTGATCATTTCTTTTTGGTAATTGGTGTCCCCCGGGGAAGCCGTCCACCATAATAGGTTAGGATCCCATTTGTTGCACGATTATACTATTTAAGGTAAGTGTAGCAGTGGGGCACTACCGAATACCGGCGAGAAATGGTTGAATTATGATTTGCTGTTGAGTGTCAGCTGCACAACGTGGTTTCAAGTAAATTCAGCCAAATGGGGCTTTAATACAATAGCTGAATGCTTTTCAACTTTGCCAGGAAAAATTGTTTTTGTGTTTTCAAGATGAAGAGTCAAGTGATCATGTTCTATATTGTAGCTTAAATGAAATGGTCACGCCTCTAAAGAGGATTAAAAAACCATGCAAAGAAAGAATCACACAGAGTAGTTTCTAATTTTAGAAAAATCATTAGGGGGGGCAAGCCTCCAAGACAGGAGGAGTAGGGGTTAGGCGATACACACATTTGGTTTCTACGGTGTGTATTTTAGAACAGAATTCTTTTGTCTAAGAGATAGGTACCTAGTCAAAACTACTAGGTCATTTTAAAAATATGTTTATTTTTAAATACCGATATGTCGAAAAACTGATGGTACGATTTAGGATTTTGCTATAAGACTGTAAAAGGAGAGCAACGAGCTATCCAACGATGTGCAACACGAGGTGAGTTCGTATTTGAAAAAAATAGTTAGGGCAGCTTCCCCTAACGGGTGAGGCGGAGTGAACCAAAAAGTGCCTCATTTTGGTTCCCCCTCCAATCCCCGGATACGTATTTGAGATCTTCCTGATAGTATCTTTTGTCTGAGATATTCCCGATTGCTACTTTTCAAATTGTCACCCTGTATAGATGTATTTGTTTGTTTTCAATATTCCAATATTTCCCAAGAAGTCTGGGTCTCAAGGCCGTACTAAGCAGTAGGAACAGGCTCATTCCCACAAAGGAAACAGGCTCATTCCCACAAAATTGGAAAAAGAGTAAAGTCATCCCAATTGAAAAGAAAAGTGGAACTGTAAAATGTGAAGAATTCAGACCAATCAACACAGTGCCACCTTATGAAAAATTGCTAGAGTTGTGTGTAAATAAACAAATAGTGAACTATGTCGAGCAGAATAACATTCTCACTGAGTACCAATCGTTGCGTTGTTTTGATTTTCATGCTTTTCAGAAAATTATATGTTTATGAGGATTTTATGCTTTTTGGGGTAGGAAGCCCTGGACACCGTTGGATATCCTATAGGGTAGGATGCTCTGAACACCGTTGGATATTTTATTTTTTTCGAGGTGTTGGATATTGGAAGCTGAATAAAGAGGTAATTTTTAATAACATAAAACATTGAATTTTCACTAATTTTAAGTTGCTTTTTCCAGGCATCCCTTATACAAATTGAACCAGAAAGGTAGCTGGTTTTGGCCCTGGATATCATACAGATGATCACCTAAATGACGCCTAAATGTTTCCAAGTTCCTTAAATTCAGTTTGTCCTTTTTCAGTGAGATTTTTATACAGTTGGAAATTGGCTTTCGATATGACACAAATGGACCAACAGAGGCTTTATGAATCACTTTGGAAAGGGTGGTTAATAATAATATTAGGTAATATATTTTTGTCTTTTCCAGATATATTAATAATAGATTTATCTAACATTCCAGGTTTCTCTTATCTATGTCCATTTTGTCTTAACGTCTTTTCCAGTTAGGCCATCATTACTTTGGACATTGGACTGCATCTCTTGCAAACTAGTTTTCTTCTGGATATCGTACAAATGACTGAGAATTGTGGACGAGGCACAAATGACTCACAATGGTGGAAATTGGGACAAATGACTGGGAATGGTGGACAAAGCTACAACTGATGCTCATTGGTGGACATGGATCCAAACTTTGATTACTTTTCTCTTCCAGGTGAAATTTCATGTGTCGATTCCCAAAAAACAGTTCATGATTCGACTGAATCTTCAAGCCAGGGAAGCCCTGGGAGAGCCTAATGCTATAGTTGTCCAGGACTTTTTACATTGCACTAATACACTATTTATGGTTAGGGTTTACAGTGGTGCCTTCCTAGCTAGCAAGTGACGGTTGAAATAATGGATAGTTGATGGTTTTGGCTGTACAAGTGTGACTTCGAGTGGATTAGGCCTACTGGGGATAGCACAAAAGAAAACGCACTGACAGCTTATACTTCTAGGGTGGTGTGGAAATTGGGTTCATTCAAGTTACAATTGGCAAACTTAATAAGGTAAGTAGTTTTTCAAAACAAGAAACTTAAATTATACAACTTTTTGTTACAGGGCAGCCACTAATAACCAAGATTTTAATCCTAAACCTGCAAGATTTGTGTGGAAAGAAGCTGGAATAGACACCAGATTTATGTAAAATCATGGTAAGAACTCCAAAAAAACCTGGACCCCATATGGTAAGATTTTACTAATTGTTGTCTAGTTTTTTTCATGTTGGACATTGTGAGGGATATTGGAATCTTAACAGACAGAGAAAGTGAGTTCTCTAATTCCAATGTTCAGGGACAAAAATCAAATTGGGAAAAATAGCTTTTCAATGTTTTTAGTTTGGGTTAGTTCTTCCCTCGGTTCTTCCAGAGGAAAAGATGCTTGATTTTGCCTCTAGAATATCGAACACTTTTTAATCAATTTTTAGCCTCCCAGCTTCCAGAACATCTACCAGATTCAAAATTCACGTTAGGGAAAATTGTTTTCAATCGGTACCTAATATTGTTCCATGAAGCTAGTGTCATTTTCCTGATAAAAATCATAGTCAAGACTTTGAAGCTTTGCAGCTGCAAAACTTTTGAGCTGGATTGAAATCATTCACAAGATATTTGTAGATAACTTAATTGGCTTTAATTGAAGCCCAATTACGTTAAAATCGGATTGAAATTAACAAAGTTGTGAGGCAAAGCAAAATGTATGTTAGTGTCATTTTCCTGATAAAAATCATAGGTAGTCAATGAAGTGCCAGCTACTTTTGTTGAAGTAATTCAATTATTTGGATTGGATATTGATAATGAAACGCAATTATTGAATATTATAAAGAAAAAATCGAAGAAAAAATTATATGCTTCACATGGCAGAAAATCATATTTAATCCTGGATTTAAATCTTGTACTTTTCTGCCTAGTAAAGCAATTAATCCAGCAAATGACTATTGTTTGGATCAGATCTAGGTTTCAATGTGCCCAAAAAAATAAAAACAATGTGTTGCAGACTTTTTATTTTGTGAATTATTGATTGAAACAAGAATAAAATATTCTGCACATTTCACTGTTTCGCATAAGAAATTAAAATATTACAATAAAATATTCGAGGGTATTTTGTGTAATATCCAAACCATACTTGACTAGGTGGGAAATCTTTTACTGAGGGGTTTGTCACCTATCAAAATTTGTACACCGATTAACAGTACTAACTGAGATATTTCCATGTATTAACAAATATTTTTATGTACCTAATAACAAGTTATTGCCAACTATTTCCATGTATTAACAGAATATTTCCACATATTGCCAGGTATTTCTCCAGTATTATCACATATTACCAGGCATTGCCATGCTATTGACAGACTAAAATCAAATATTTGTCTTGCCAGAATTCTAGGTATTGACATATCCACAGGTATTTACATGTTATTAATGGGTATCAACCAATGACATTAACATACTGCCTAGATACCTAGATATCTACAAGTATTGACATATATTACCTACATAATTATCAAGTGTGTATTGCATAGTATTGACACTATTCACATAGTGTTTACCTGGTATTGATGTATATTAACCAGTGATTTGTACACCGATTAACAAGGTGAAAAACCTCTTGTGTTTTCCTTACTTAATCTTTATTTGCACCTGCAAAACTGCAGCCAAGAATGCAAATTCATAAATAAATCTAAGTTCCTCATCCAGCATTATTTAGATGAATTAGGTATAATTAGAATTTACTTCACCTGAAATGATCCCATCCATTTGCAGTAGGGCTTGCTCCAACAATTTGCTAGCTTCGCTCGGAGGGCATAGTCCCGGTACCCTATCACTTATTTGATCTGCTTTTCCCATTATTACTAATGCAATGAATACACCCCTATCATGAAATCCACAAGTGGTTTGGTAAAGGTAAAAGAGCTACTTTATTTTACACAAAAAATTAATTGTCAATAACTTTTGTACAAAAAAAAATGGTTTTATTTACTTGTAAGTAAACAGAAAAACACTAATTTCATTATTTTGGACACTTTTGTGTTGTGGCTTTTTGTTTACTTTTTACTTGTTGGTCAGAGAAATGTCAAATTATGAAAATACTGAAAAGTAAATCTGGTGACTGGTGGCGGCATCTATTAAGCTTTACGTGTTACATTATGTAAAATTTTACGAAAAGCAGGAAGCAGGGGCGAGTTCAGGAATGACACACTCGGTGTGAGTGTGACACCGGTGTGACGCAGTAGCCGTTCTTAAATGCTATAAGGTCTGTTCGCAGAGAAATCACAAATCAGTCAGAGTGAATCTTATTGGTTGAAACTAGTTTTCTGACTGTTTCTGATTGTTTTCAACCAATGAAATTCGCTCTGACTGGTTTGTGATTGCTGTGCGAACAGGCCTATTGACACCCCGAGTGCGCGCACTCTGTTCTGTTCAGAAAGTACTTCGGGCGCGCTCCAGGTGTCGCACCGGTCACACCATAATTTTTTAGTGTGGCTGCGGTGTGCCTGCGTAATCATGTCAACAATGTTAACCATTCCTCCCATAATTCCACGATCCCACCAAATATAAACAAAACACAAATAAAAATGAAAGTTTTTTCTTCAAATTTAAATAATTAACAACAAAAAAAAGTAATCTTAATACATTTGGTGAAATTTTTTGAGGAGATACTCGATTGGTCACGCCAAGCGTTCAGAAATACATACGAAAGTTGTCGCCTAAGAATTGTCATTTCAAGCACACCCATAAAATCGCACCCACACCCGGTGTGTTATTCCTGAACTCGAGTCGCCCCTGAAGCACTAGGGATGAGTGCAAAGTGAAGATGCGTTCAAAGTGAAGATGCGTTCAGAGTTCAAATCAATTGTAGTTTACAAATGGTTGTTCGCGTTCGGCTTGCTCACTCTGAGTACTCCCTAAACACTCGGGTCGATTATTCATTCGAAGCCGGATTCCGGATTATCAGTTATTTGACGTCAAGGATATTACACACTACATAGGATCTATCCTTAGTAATACTTTCCATCATAAATGTATTTACTAAACTACAACCGCTGGCGCAAGTAGCTTACGACACCGTTGATGACGTCGGCAACGGTGCAACACCATATGACCTAGATTCCAAAAATCTAGGCCGATGAGCAATCCTATAGTAGTGTGCAATATCCTAGGTTTGACATGGCTTTCCCTACAGTGGCTCTATTACCACACTATTACCACAGTGGCGACAATAGGCCCCTTGCATCAAATTTTTTTATTGCTGATTTCGATAGTCCATGAAAAATAAGTCAACACGTGTTTTTTCTTTTTCTTGTTAGTCAAAAATTGACGGAGATACAACGCTTTGAAATGTCCTTCCGACGTCATAACTTAGGTATAATACGTTGTGAGTTGTGACGTCGCACATGCTCAGTATATCTATATATAAAAAACTTAATATTTGTATAACTTCCGGAATAATCATATTTGGGTGAAATTAAAAAAAAGTAACAATTTTTTTTCGATTTCCAGTTTGCAATAAACAATAATCAATTTAATCAATTTAATTTTCCATGCAAGTACCCTATTGCTGTCTTATTTTTGATTTGTCAACGATTTGTTCTAAAATCCCATATATTTATATATTGAAACGCCGCCATCTTGCTCCCAACTTCTTGTTACTATTAAATATGAGTATATGGGATTTAGGTAAACATCCATCATAAATCATGGAAAACAACGTATTTGATGGACCTAATAATGGTCAACAAATACGTCGATTTCAATTTTTTATGATAGATGTCCATTTAAATCCTATATATTAATATTTAAAAGTAACAAGAGACGAGAGGTTGGGAACAAGATAGCGGCGGGACCTCTATTGTCGCCACCATAGAGAAATATAATACATAAAGGAGTCCGATTCTGTACTAAAAAGAAGAACAGCGTTTGATCGAAGCGCACCAGTGGGGGATAATAGGAACTACAGTCGTTGCATCAATCGATAAGGCAGGTACCTATGCTTCAAGCCGAAAAAAGGCGGGATATTTGAATGGACGTTTCTGATCTGAATTTTCTTTGCAGTAAATAAATTTCGAAATAAATTAAAAATATATTTTATTAGCAATAAAAGCAACAAGAGCACAACATAACTTTCTAACATAAAACACAAAATTCTAATATTGAAAAACGTTTAATCTTGAAGTCAATCTGTCAGAAGTAGGTATACTTGTGTACCTACCCTCTCCTCTCTCTGGAAAATCTAAAAATGAAAAAAAGAAAATACTCTTATATAAGTCAATCCACTTTGGTTTATTTTAAACTGAACTAGGTCTCTTGTACGCTGTATCTATTAGGTGTACCTACTCAAGTACTCTCTTGGTTCATGGTTTATTCTGATGGCTGGACTAGAAACAGAAAAAAATAAATATTTAGTAGGTGTACACCTACTACTTTTTTCAATAAGGAAGATTATTTTTAGGTAATATAGCCTTACCCTTGCTTCTTTATGGTCTGAATTCAAACATTAAACAAAAGTACACACTGAAACTATAATAAGTACCTACCCTTAGATTTAAAAAACACTTGGAACCCATTCATATTATTGATTTATGATATATATGATCCCAGGTATAATAGGTATCTTTTTAATTTTTCAGCTTACCCTTTCTGCCAATTTTCAATTCAAATTATGAATTCGGAATTCGAAGAGTGATGAAACCCACCAAACCAAAATACAAAACATATTAAGTGTGATTTATAAACTCCACCGTTCCCGTCACCGTTCGTTGTTCCCGTTCCCGTTCCAACTTCAAATATAGGAAATTAATGTAAGCATTTATATCCACCGTTGCCGTTCCCGTTCGTCGTTTTCCTCGCGAACGGCACCGTTCCACCTTGGTTAACTTTTAACTCGACCGTTCGTCGTTCGTGCAGTAGCCAATCAAATTAGACAATTTTGGTCATGTGATTCAAGATAAATATATTGGGTTAGGATGTGTTTTTGTTTGTGTTGTGTAACGGTTTAGAGTTTATAAATGCTTAGAAACGACACGAACGGTGACAACGAACGTGAACGGTGACAACGAACGGGAACGGTGACAACGAACGGTGACTGAGAGTTTATAAATAAAAGCTTTATGGCCGCGGCCATTGTCATTTATCATTTTAGTTCTGCCGATTCTGGCCCCCATGCGCGAATTACCTTACGCTAAAACTCAAACTGGTATGCCATCTCGCACCTATGATTCGGACACTCTCCTTTATGTATTATATTTCTCTATGGTCGCCACTGTATGTAAAGGTTTATTTAGCAACTGTAGCTTTCCCTGGGTTTTCCTCAACGGGCCACCAGCTCACATTCCTTTGAACTTTGGTTTTTATACAATGATATAATAGTAGTCATATCGTATCCTCATTCTGACATGACATTGGAACCCGTAAGTCTATTGCGCTCGCACTCCCATCGAGCATCATCATGACAATAGTTGCATTCCTTTCAAGAGTTTGAAACACTGGAGCTACTGGCTCCGGTGTTCAGTCGCCCCCTATTTGCAGGGAACAGATACGTGGTGCAACAAACGGCCACTTTTCGAAAGGCGTGAAGCCCCGGAGCTGTTCCGGAGCTCCTCCTACTAGGTGTGAAAGGAATACAACTTATTATATACTCGTTTGGCAGACACTCGCAACCGCCAGAATAGACTGACTATTCACATATACTTTTTAAATCAGTACAAGAATATTATTCCCTCAAAATTTCAGCCTCGTGGAAGCAGGTAATCAATGATTGACCCTATAACAACTTATGTGTGTTGCTCTCAATGGTGGCTCTATCAGAAACATTTTTGATATTTGTTCGCCAAAAAAGCTTTATACAATAAGGCAAGAGCATATTATATCTAATCAAAGAATTGAATGTTGATGGTCTCAAATGAGACGGCTTGGTAGAAATTGGTGCATAGTGGATCAATTATTTTAGAGATCTGAGAGCCAGAGGACACAGGCCTTTAAAATGATGGTTATCTGCTTCATATAGAATGTTTAAGGTTTTGCTATGCAGTTTTTTTTTTGTTAAAAATTACATCCCAAATGCAAATAAAAACAATCCAATAACCGGACACAGAATCTGGCAGTTCTGTGTTGATTTTTTGATCAAAATGATAATTGTTTATCTGGTTGCCTATTTTTCAGGGTTTAGGTCGTTATGGATTATTTTCGTTCGTCTCCTATTGGCTGTAGTCATAATACGTCATAAAGGCGCGAAAACATCAATTTCAAATAATGGCAAAAATTCATTCTTGAATAAAATTGTTATGTTTCAATGCATCATTCTAATTATCATATTAATCGGTAGCTTTGGGAAGTAGAAGTACTTGTCTCACTTTGGAAACATTCATTTCAATTAAGCGGGAAGGCCCCATTGCCATAAAGTTGCTCCACATCTACACTGCAAGGCAACTTTCCTAATCGCTGAAATTCGGGTAAATTCCTTTCAAGTAATGCATACCCTTCATCTTTCCTCGCTCGTTCGTTTTCGGAGGGAACGCGAAGATCTTCGTCAATTTGGTCGTTTTGACACAGAATGCATAAAGACCAGTCTATGGTTTTACCCCGTTTCCTACTTCTTTGCTCCTCCAACAACACATTACAATCCACTAATCGGAAAGAGCGATTCATTTTGGTGAAATTAGGGAAGCCTGAGCACTGGCGTAGCCAGGGGGGGGCAAGGGGGCATTTGCCCCCCCCCCCCCAAGACCCTTAAATTTTATGAATAATTCTTCAAAATTAAAATAAACAGTCCCAAAAATAGCGTGAAGAAACCTGAAAAAGGGGCGTGGCACCCAAAAATTTCGCGCATGCGGCGCTTTTCCTTCGGCAGCAGTCGCGGTGGAGCCGCAAGAAACACTTCCTACAAATTTGCCCCCCCCCCCCAAGACAAAATCCTGGCTACGCCACTGAGCCTGAGAAACCCGAGGAACACAAAAAAGTTACAACTTAATTCGGAGCAAATGAAGGGTAAAGCACGGTCGCGCAGAGTGTCCGCGCAGTAGTGATAGGTCATAACACCGCAAGTAAATATAAAAACAACGCACAAGATGTATGATACGCACC